TACATATTTATAGATAGAATATATTATTATTATTAGATAATATATATTGTTCTTTAACTTATCATAACCAGTCTCAGTGTGATCATCTTTGTGTCTCATTAGTGTTTCTGCTGCTGATCCTGAGCTTCAGCTGCTTCTCTGAGCCTCTCTCTCTGTCTCTCTCTTCTACTCTCTCACACACACACACACACACACTTACAAATACATGCATTATTCATGTCACCATCTCTTTCTTGACTGAGGTCCAAACAGTTGGTCCTCAATAACACTTCTGTATACCAGCCCGGGGTGAAAAGAAAGAAGACATTAAACTACGAGTCCAGTCCACTGATCCACACGTCATCACACAGCTGTGATAATATATATATATATATGCATATATATATATATATATATATTCATGGTTCATGGCTGGTGAGGCACTGACTCCTCTGGAGTCAGATTTACAATTGTAAGAACCAAAAAGATCACCTGGTAATGTTTCATATCCATCAGCATTCCTCTTTATATACATTATATTATATTATTTTACATTACATTATATTATATATATACACAGGAACATATTTGTCCTACAAAGAACGTTTCTTTTACAGAAATGGACAGAGCCCCCTTCTGGTGTCCAAGAAACCCAAATTTAATGTAAAGAAATTAAAGTATAGAGATGGGTGCAGCACAAATTTAATTTTAACCTTCAGTAAAAATTCAGTTAATTTTCAAACTAAATTCTGGTGCTTTAATCAAAGGTTGTTCTCGGCAAAAGCATGGAACAGTTCTACATAGTTGCCCCGATTAGAGGAGTGTGCCTTCTCATCGTTAGCACCAAATGCTAGCTCATGTTTGGCTAGGAAACAGGTAGCATTAATAAGGTATTTTCCCTTACCTTAGCATTGTGGACGCTGATGTTTAGTCTCCGTTGCTCCGCTAATGCCAAATCGGTCCATGAATTTCCAAAAGTTTTTAAGGAAATCTGTCTTTGAATGTGCGTGGCTGATCTTTCATGTTGGCTAAGGCGTCTTTGCTAATGTTTCAGGTCACAGTCCCGAGTTAGTCCAGACGCTATCACTCGATGAGAACAAAAGGCAAGGAAAGCAGTAAAGGCGGCTTCTTACAGGACAGCCACACAGCCAGTCTTTCCGTTTGTACCACTCCATTTGAAAAGAACGACTCTTCTGTCCCGTAGTTTGAAGCTAACCTTTTAGCTCCGGCGTTGGTCTTCCGTCACTTATCATCTTCTGTTTGGACCGGAAGTCCAGTTTTGAGAAACGTTTCCGTCTTGAAATACAATCCATAGTCAGCTGGATCAGGCAGAGCTGTTCTTGACCTACTACTGGCTCTAGCTTTGCGCCGACTGTTGATTGCCTGTTGACGCTAGCTGGAGAGCACCTGGCAGTTCACGTAGAACCCCTTGAGGTGAGACAGAGTACTGCATGCCTCTTCTGCTGACTTTTCTTGTACGACCAACAGGAACAAGTATCTCGCACATATAATAAAGACATTACACAGACTGTAGAGAGTCCTGCTGTATAACAGATATTTCAAGTTCATATGGGTGATATCCTGAGGAACAGAAACGTTCGTCATGTGACCCAGTTTGTATTGGTCAGATATGGGGTGCTGCTCTCTGATTTTTGCTTAATAAAATGTCAAAAATGTGTGGAGTCATACTGAAAATGCATCTTTAGCACAGATCAGTGGAAAATATTAATATTTATTTAATGTACTTTGTTCTTTTTATCATGTTTTTTTTTAATCCCCTGACTGCACGTCACTGATATATATGGCTTACAAAAGACCAGAGTGTGTTTGTCCAACAAAAGGCTGAGGATGAATAAAAACATAATTCTCATGTGAAGCGTAAAAAGAGAGGAGTTAGAAGAAAAAGATTCACATTAAGTTAAATGGACAGTTTTAGTATAAATAAAGTCTGTGTTTCATAAACAACATGACTGGAAAGTCTACTGGCTCAGAAATGTGAAAATGAGGAGGTTCTGTCTGTAATTACAGAACAACTGACAGACAGTTCACACTTCATCAACCTGAGACCTTCGTATCACAGTGGTAATCAAAACATTCTCTGCAGAGAGGTATTTTTAAAAATGTCTGCACACAATGTGTTGCTAATTTATAAACCAATTATAAAATAGACTGTAGCAAAAAATGTTAAAAGCCAGCTGCAGAGAATAAGTATCCGAAGCTACAGAAATAATTGGATAAAGCTGACAACGACACTGTCTGTCTGTTTGGATTCACTCTGACCTGAAGTCTGTGGAGAAACAAAAACTACTTTGACACGTTTAGAGAAGGAGCGTTCAGGATCTTCTCCATCATACATGTGAAAAATCAACAATCTTATTGTAAAAGATACAATCGAGTTGAATGTTGACAGCTAGTCATCACTTGAAACTAACACTCTTGACAGGAAGTGAATGAAAAAATCTGTAGAAAAAAGCCAAAAATAACTATGTGCATAAGGACAACAAAAATAATGTTGCACTGCAGAAGATCATGGAAAAATGTATTGTTTGCAGGAAGTAAGTCCATAACATCTGCAAAAGTGCAAAGTCATGAAATATAACATGAAGCGGAAGACTGTTGTTTTCTTCAGTTTTTCTGGTAGAGCTAGCTTCTGTGGCCTGTAGGTGGGGCTAAGTACACATTTCAAGTACACATTACTAGTGGTGTGTTTTATATAAAACTACTCCTGTTAACTGGGTCAGAACTTTTTATTTTACATTTGGGCTGGTAGCGGACTTTCTATTGGCTATGAGAAAATAACACTATGAAACAGACACTGAGCATGTAGTTAGCAACAGGCATGCTAGCATTTAGCACAGTGCATAGTGTAAGCGGACCAGCAAGTTAACAGCTGTCCATGAATATAATAATATAGCTTTTTATTTAGTAAGTCAGTTTTCACCAAGGCTACGCTAAGCTAACCCTGCTGACGCACATAAACTCATGACTTTTGTGATATTACTGCCACCTGATGGATCTATTTTCCACTGGAAAATAACTGAATCTAGAGGACATCCTGATCACCCACAGGGCGGGTACAAGTCTTTGTGTGTTTTAGTCTTTGTTAGATAATGTTGATTTTTTAGATTTAAATAAAAGACGACAGAAGACGAAAGAGCTGAGTTCCATAACCTGACTGCAACAAGGTGACGTCAACAGAGAACAGGTCTGACAGCAGGGTCCTGAATTTAACACAAAAGAAAGGCAGCTTGTGTGAGTGGGGAGAGGAAGTGATCAATGAGCGCCCCCTCCTGAGCTTTTATGTCCTTCTGTTCCTGACGGACAAACACAACACTTCAGTCTCCCTCTCCGTCTGCAGTTGACTTCAGTCATCTCTGAATCACTGTAGCTTGATTAACGCTGACATTTTAGTTCACGGATGTTTCCAAGAAACAACTGCTCATCACTGGAGTCCAATCAGGATCATTGCCGCTCACTACTGTGTGTTCATTTTGAGGGTGTGTGTGTGTGTGTTGGGGGTTGAGGCAGGGCAGGGGAGTTAGATTCTCAGCAGCTGCTAAGGAGAGCAGAGTTCCTGNGTTCACTCTATCAGACCTCCATCACTGCACAAATGCTCAGTCTTTATGTGAGCAGTAAAAGCTGTGGCTGTCCAGCCCACAGCAGAAGTCATGTTCCCCACATCATCTGCTGCAGCCATCTGCTGCTGGCTGGACCACCATACACTGTCGGTTCAAACCCATCATCATCATCATCATCATCATCATCATCATCATCATCATCATCATCCTTCCCTTCCTTATCATCATCATCATCATCATCATCCTTCCCTTCCTTATCATCATCATCATCATCATCATCCTCATTGTCTCCATCAGTCGACTCTGTCTTCAACATCTTCCTCACTAATATTGGGCCTCCACCACAGTCCCATTTTATGAAACAGAATAGAATAGAATAGTCTTTATTGTCATTGTAACACGAGGGTACAAAGAAATTGAGGACCTGAAAAGACCTGAAGCCACTGCATTAGGGTCTGGACTATCTAGAACAGGCATGGGCAAACTAAGGCCCGGGGGCCGGATGCGGCCCGTTCAGCTTTTTAATCCGGCCCGCCAAACTTTTCCAAATTATATAATTTATAATATCATAATACTTCTGCCTTTTCCCTGCAATACCCATGTTTCCCCAATAGATGGCGTAGAAAATGATAAAAGCATTTTAGCTAATTATCCTTTATGCATGAGTTTTACATGTAATCTATCTATCTGTCTGCTCCTGACCCGGCCCCCCTGTTCAATTTTAGGACCACCTGTGGCCTGCGAATCAAAAAGTTTGCCCACGCCTGATCTAGAACCAGGTCAGAGCTGATTGTCTGCAGTGACTTCAGCCTCAGTGGATGAACCTGACTGTTTTTAGGAGCTCAGGAAGCAGGAAGTTGTTGTGGATGCAGAGAACATTCCTCCTCCCCTGATGTGACCTTCTCAGGAGTGTGTGAAGGTGTGGGGCAGGTCAGCGCCTGGTTAAGGCAGGCCTCAGACCTGGACTGACCCAGGGTCTGCAGGGAGTTGCCCCCTCCCCTTCTCTGTAATTCTCAGTAAATCAATGAGTGTTTCTTCAAAGCTGCAGGCAGCAGCTTTTCACCACTGCTCTCAGAGATATTTACATGTGTGTAATCAGAAATAATACGACGTGACGGTGGACTACAGTACTGGTTCTTTTCACTCTGGTTCTTGTTCTTGTGTGTTCTGGTTCTGTTCTGGTTCTTTGTTCTTTTTCTTTTGCATCTTAGACCTTAACTCAAATCCATTTATACATCTGTAAATTCCCCTACATACTCGGACTAGCATCAGCATAAGCCTGATGCTAAATTCAAATATTCAGAGCCGTACTTGAAAACATACTGATACTCTGTGCTGGTACTTGCTATCGGCTAGTACACAGAAGGAAATACTTGTAACGCTCATATGTGTCTGTGAAATTCAGTGTCAGGATCAAAGACCAGTGGATGTTACTCACTGTGTACTGCAGTTGTCTCGGAGTTCTTCAGAGTATGCATCCTTCAGAACTCTCCAGAACATTGTCTGTGTCTGTTGAAGTGTCTGACAATCGGCTGCCGGCTTCTTCAGCTTCTTTTCCTGCAGAACTCTGGAAAGCGGTGACCCTTGTCCATCCGACTGTTCTCCTCCTGAACTCCTGAACCCAACAAGAACTCCTGACCTTATCACAGACGCCCCCTCGACCCTGCCAACAAAGCCAACAGCAGGGGTCACCAGCTACATTTGTCAGAGGGCCAGGATTTTTCTGGAACAACACCTTGGGGGCTGGACACTGAAACAAAACATTTTTAAAAATCACATTTTTGACTAATATTATTTGATATTTATTATTTGTTTGTTTTAGTTCTTCAATTACAGAACATTTTAGCCTTTATCTGTCAGGCTCAGAAATTTGGGAATTTTGCTTCAGTGGACGGTTTGGAGGGTGAGGCTTCCATCATCGCTGATGTACAGTATATTTAAGGTGGGATATTTGTTAGAAGAAATATGCAAATATGTTTATGTTCCAGACACTTTAAGTGTAAGGTAATAATTGTGGTAATTCTGGGATTAATAATTAAGGTAACGATGAGGATATAATAAACTTTGTTTTCAGGGTATGATTAAGGTAATGATCAGGGTATGATTAAAATAATCATGAGGGTATAATTAATGCAACAATTAAGGTATTATTAATGTATGATTAAGATAATGATTGGGATATAATTAAAATAATAAGGTAATATTAAGGTAATGATTATGGTATAGTTAATGATTAGGGTATAATTAAAGTAATGATTAGGGTATAATTAAGTTAATGACTAGGGTATAATTAGGTTAATAATTAGAGTATAATTAAGTTAATAATTAAGGTATAATTAAGTTAATACTAAGGGAAATATTTAAGGGACCAATGACAGTAAGGCAGTAACCAAGGTAAAACTGAAGGTAACATTTAAGGGTATAATTATCAGGAAATATCTACAACATAACATTTCCACTAACCTAAACATTTACATGGTTCATTACCGTGACATTTTTCTTGTCCCTATTCCTTGTTCTTTGTTCAATACCTGACTCGTTTCCTCTTTATTGCCCCTCAGGGGTTGATACAGTTTTTTTAATCTGCTTCTATTCCTGTCAACCTTGAATGTGCTGTTCTTACTTCTATATTTTTCTGCTCACAAACAGTTTCTTCTGCTGAGAGACGCACATTTACACAGTGCTTTTTGTCTTTTTATTCCGTTTCTTCTTAGTTCCATACTCGTTGTCATTCCTATTCTAATAATCTTAATCTAATTATTTGTCTTATGATAAATTTTAATTTGAATAAATTTGACCTAATATTTTTTCTAAGAAATTCATTTTTTCACCAAATTAATTTTGTCTTTGTATTTTCAATCTAAATATTATTCCTCTAATTGGTGACACGCCCCGGATCCTGTGCGTAAAAGAGGACACAGCGAAGTACACCTGTTACCCACTGTGTCTATGGGGCTCAGTATTGTTAGTCATGAACCTCAACGCACATCACTGCCCCCTATCAGTGCGGCATAGTACTTTCTACTTCACCCTGTACATTTTCTTTGTGCGTTCATAGCTGATCAGAAAGACTAAATATGTCACACACATTTGTTAAATATATAAGTCTGTGAGAGTCTGAGACTGTGGAACATCAGTATGTGTAGTACACATTAAATCAGGTATGTATTTGAATGTATTCTCTATGAGAACCCCCTGTACTATGATGTAATCATTTGGTGGAAAGAAAGAATGAATTTGTCATTCAACCAAAGGGACTTACATTTCTAATTATTATCCGATGACGTGGAAAAAGCACAAATGCAGAAGCGATGGCACCTTGGATTAACTCAACCCAGCGTGAGCCTGAAACTCATCTGTAAAATTTCTGCCTAATACATTTCCCAGTGTGAAAAACAGCAGGGATTTTGCCAGGTAATTTGCAGTGAACATGTGGGATTTGAAACGGACCTGATGAGGAAAAAACATAGGAAAAGAGACGCTCCACTTGGATTGAAGTCCCAAAAGCTCACGATGCCAAAGAACTGATTTCACACAAAAATCCAACAGACTGCAGCATCACACACAATTAAAATGGTGATTAATGAACAAATTTAATTCTCCTAGCTCATATTGCTCACCCATTGTTTTTCATTATAAAACAGTTAAAAGTCAAAATAAAATGACAAGAAGTAATTTTTTTTTTTTTTTTTAGGATTGAACCAAATTAACTGCAGAACAAGGAGAAAAAACACCAACATTAGAAACTTCCCAGCTGTAGAAAGATGAAGATGAAAGAACAAACTTAAATTCTACATCGACATCAACATCTCAGGGACAAAAAAAACCCAAAAAACACAAAGTGGAAAACAAGTTTCCAAGGAGACGCAGGAGAAGAAAATAACATGGGTTTAAAAAAAAGAGAGAAAATTCTCAGCGCAGACTTCACAGTTAACTTTTGACTGACTTCTGTAGGTGAGAAGTTTTGTTCATGTCAGCAGTGACTCCAGCACAAAGTACATGGAACTTCTATGACTGTTATAGGAACTGTTATGCAGATACCAAAGAGTGTCTGAAGGGTGAAGGTCCAGTGAAGTAGTAGACAAATTAGTTTCTCTGCTGTTTAAAAACAGTTCCCAGTGTCCCGACTCTGTGTGGAACCAAACAGTCCCAACAGTACCAGTACCTTCTATTTTCTCCATCATTTAAAAGTCCATGGTTCTATAAAACAGTCCTGAATTTGGACCAATAAGGAAGTGGTGTGGTGCAAGCCCCTCATGGTCCAACCACTCAGGCAGAAACTTTTTTTTTCTTGCTGACAGACAGCACATCATTTAAAGTTCTAGTCCGTCCAATGGAAACCCTTTAGTTCCTGGTACTGGCTGTAGTTCCTGTACGGTAGAACTGTTCCCACAGACACCCACGATACAAAGATGATGAAAAACAAGGACATGGTGAGAAGAGCACTGCTGGACAGTAGAAGAGTTGAGGCTTCATTTTCATTTTTCCTGCATTTTGTTTTCCAAGGAACAAAAAACACGATTCCTGGATCCTGGAAATTAAAGAGCCAAACGTTCCCATTGGCTCTTTGGAATATTTGGTGTTGGAAACATGGCAGAAAATACAGATTCATAAAGTACAACGTTAATAACATCACATCTGAAGAAAGAAAGTAAAAAGAACTCTTTTTTTTCGTCTTCTGACACTTTGTTTTGCTTCTGATTGAAATTTCTGTGCTAAAAAACTAATTCAAAGCAGGTCAGAGATTTGACTGCAACTATAAACAAGGCAGTTACAAAAAAAAAAGAAGAAATAGCTTCGAACAAACTCTCGTCACCGACATTAGCTGTTCTCCTGTTCACTCGTCTATTATTATTATTTCACTTCCATTCTGAGGTTTCTAGAAATGATCAAACACAGGGAGAGTTTTTACATGAGCAACAAGAACATCTGTTCCACAGAACTTTAAATGAATATTGACTCTGTCTCTGCAACAGAGGAGCACAACGTTACATGACTGCTGACTCCAAACGAACTCAAATGGCAGAATTAGCAGAAAAAGCTCCAGAGTTGACTGAAGTCAGAGCTGAGGAAAACAAAACAGATAAAAAATAAACAAACATTTGTTTTACCCAGTTAAACACTAGCTTAAAGATAACTAGAGTGAAGATAACTACGCTGAATTAGACAATTGAACTAAAGTCACAATTCACTTTGTCAAATGCAAAAAGTCAAAAAGACGCAAAAAGAAAACAATTTAAATAATAAAAAGGTAATCATGAAATAGCTTCAATTACACTAAAAAAATGATTTGTTTCTGAAAACATGAGAAACACAAAAATCTAGTGAAATAAGGCAAACTAGCTACAGGTTAGCCAAATGGTAGCCCTGAAATAATAAAAAAAAAAAACCATAAAAAAGAATCTTGCTTTTTATCTATTTTTGCAAACATGTCTCAATGATTCAGGACATGCTCCCCCTACTGACTAGCAGATGAACATACTGTATATGAAGGACTTGGAGGATTACTCCTTTTCTCCAGTGTGGAACTGTGACCAACTGTACTTATTATTTCGCACTCAGGTTAATGAGACTTAATCAAACCTCATGTAAACAGACATTTGCCAAAAACTAAACTCATCGTCTCCAGTTGCTGCTCCATCAAGCCACATTCACACCAACCCTGCTGTAAAGTGTAGTCGTAACAGTTTTAAAAGAAAAGAGCATTGGAATCTGTAAACCTTCACATCTTAGTGCAGCAGTTGCAGTCGTTTTTCATTTACAAAGTTTTTCTCCTTTTTGAAAACTGAACAGCCTCGTAAAAACGCTCTGTGGTCCGTTTAATTTTCTTTTTTCACTCTGTTTTCTAAGTGGACACAGATAGTAATTACAGTGTGTACATTTAACACGCACCTTGCTGATTAGCATCCGTTAGCATTTGCTAGCATCCATAAATTTAACAAAGTCCGTCTCAAATGTCTGATGAATCTCGTAGAAAAGAAATACACAGAAAGTTTAGCAAACCTTTTAAAGAAAGAAAAAAAAATCCTCTGTCTACTCATTGCTGCGCCTGCAGGTGTGGAGGGTCATTATATACCGAAACTTGGGCACTGGGAGTGGTCTTTGTTCCGCCAATGTCCCTGTTTCCTGGTCCAGGGGTGGACTAATGGATAGTTGGAACGTCACCGAGCCAGGAGCCAGGCAGAGGCCGCGGACACGTATATTCATTCTGTGAGAGAGAGAGAGAGAGAGAGAGAAAGAGAGAGAGAGAGAGAGAGAACATAACAATATAAGAATGAGGAGAATGAATCTGGAGCCATTTAACAGCTGCTCTGTGCCACTTACAGTCCCGGTGCTGCCAATGCAAAGTTAATTAGGCAGTGCAGTGATTTGATAAGAACAACAATGGAGCTGTGACGCTGCCAGCAGTGAGAATGAGAGGCAGCAATTAAACCAACAACCAAATACACAATCATCTGGAAAACTCCCATCATGGCAATATAGAGAGAGAGAGAACTGAACTGGACTGGACTGGACTGGGCTGGACTGGACTGGACTGGACTGGACTAGATTACACTCGGCTAGAATAGACTAGACTAGACTGGATTGGGCTGGACTAGAATAGAGTTAACCAGTATGGTCTTAAGAACAGTAGGCTAGGCTATGTAAAACATGAGTTGGAGCTTACCAGAGCAAACATGATTTGATAAACTCACGCACATACTAGGTTTACCTTTGACAGACTAGACTAGACTAGATTGAAATGGACTAGTCCAAGTCAGAATTTTCTAAACTAGACTGAATTAAACTAGACTTGTCTAATCCAGAGTGGACTGACTTCAAAGAGCAGCAGCAGCTTTGATCTTTGTTTGTCTGTGTTAGTTGTTCTTGTTTGATTATTATTAATGTTTTTGATCACTTTTTAGTAGACTTTTCGTCAACTCATATTTGTTGAGATGTTCAACTACTTATTCCCCATTCTGCTACATTTAGCTTGTGTTTTTCTACATAATTTAAATTGCTCAAACATTGAACACTTTTTAAAAATGTATTTCTTTTGACTAAACTATTATTGTTTTCAGACAAACCTCAATTCTGACTCATTTCTGTGCCTTTTTATGCTCTTATAAAATATATAGATTTTCTTTTTCAGTGTTTAAAGGCTGTTACTCAGTATTCTTCCAAAGTAAACTTTTTCATCTTCCTCTCGGAGGGTGAAATGAATAATCTGGAAGCTTTCTTAAAAGTCAGTGCCCCCCCCTCCCTCCGATCCCTCCCACTGTTCCACTCAGCTTTGCTGCAATCTCACTGCCAATTAGTGAGAGCTTTTTGACATTTGTGCAGCAGGAGCTGTGAACTTATGTCCAACAGAAAGAAAGTCAGTCAAACAGAGGGTTTGCCTGCGAGCGACAGAGCGGAGAAAGCTCGGTCTTTCTGTTTTTATTATGATTTAACCTTTAGCAGAGGGACTGGCCACAGGTGAAACCACATTTCTTTAATAATGTCGTCTT